AAAAAAAAATAATTATATATATATATATATATATATAAGTACTTGTTTCATGATGTAATGAAGTGGTTTCTTTACGCGTAAGAATTCTCAATACAGTTATGGTCATAATGACTATTATTATTATTATTGAATTAATATATGTAGTGTTACCACATCCTAGACAAGCTGTTACCAAATTTTTACCAAATTGTAGTTGCCAAAGAATCATTGTTTCAAGCTTCATTCACGAAGGTCTAATTACCTACTATATACTAGTCATAATTCTTTATTTTAAAAAAATGTCAAGATTACACCTATCTATATTAAACAATTTCTCCATATTACAAGAGAAATCTAAAACGAGGTTAGACAGCTTGAAATACATTGACTTTTTTTTTCTGATAGAAGTCAACTATGATATGACTTTAAACATTATATTGACTTGAGGACTTAGAAGCAAATGTTATGAGATACTCACTATTTCAGATATTTTCCTGATTGAGAGCTACAAGGGAGCGTCAGTTAGGCTTAAGTTTAATAATGATGATAATAATTACCATACATTGCAGGTGCTTTTTTTTCGCATTCTTTTAACTAGATTACGGATTTCAACTCAGAAGCATATACGAATAATATCTTAGAAGACCCCCCTCTTTCATGCCTGCCATAAGTCTTTGTCCAGGTGTTCTGTAGCTCATTATATGTATGTGTGTGTGTGTGTGTTGAATTTGATTATTATAGAAACGAAATGAAAATTAGTTGGAGAGTTTCGGGTGATGAAATTAAACACATAATACAAAAACGATTTCAAACTATTGAAAAACATTTTGAACTGAATCGTTTTTAAAGAATAAGTCTTCGAAACCATGTTCTATAATGATGGGTATATTCCCTTCCCTTCCAAAAGTACCCGAACACCTCTTGAACAAGTGAAATAACCCATCCAGCACGCTCCGAAAGGGCAATCAGGAAGTATAAATACAGAGTCAAGTCTGAGAAGTAGATTAGTAGTGTAGAAGAGTTTCCAAGATGTTAGAACGTTGTGAGTTAACTGAATTTGAGATATGAGATGTTAATACCATAGAAAGTGTGAGAAGCCGATACATGAAATGATAGAAATGCTTGGTCGTGCACAAGTTGCTGTGCACGAGACCATTCAGCGAATAGTACAACAATTAATTAATAAAATTCAGGTAATCTGAAAGTGGTGTTGGACTGTAATAAAACCTACAGTTGTTAGGAAACTGAAGGAAAATGGTAAATTCACGGTAATATTTCTGCATCCAAAATGCAAGATTATGGTTTCTTTGAAGAATATATGAGATGCAGACTTTGTACACACCCTCATCGTCCAACTTGATATAAAGATTGCTAGCACTGAAATCTTGATGATTGGCCACGAAAGTTTGGAACGATGAAAGCCACTTCACATAGTGTGAAACAACAGTGTAAAGATGATCTGGAGGTTAGCAGGCGAACAGTTCAAGTACGATTACGTAACGCCAAGTGTAAAGAACTTGGTATGAGTAGAATGGAGAGAGCTACACTCTCTTCTTTGAGGACGGAATCTATCTGTGAAATATCTGCACGACAAGCCAACAGTTGATTGTAATAATTCATAAATGATCATGTCTCATGCGATTTTTTTTTATCAACTCTATAATGCAGTTCCACTATACACATATGGCAAAGAAAAATGTCTTTTTTTTTTCAAAGTAATAGTACTAAAGTTTTGGAAAATTATCTCCAACTCTATGTCCTAACTCTAACTGTACCAGACATCTATTAGAAACTATGTGACAATATGACTTGTAAAATAGCAGAAGTTATTTTGATCAAGGGAAATGTTACACCACGTAAGGCCATTCCTTTAAGATTACATATCCTGCAGTTATTATAGAAGAATGTATCTTTTTTTAGAAGTTTTTCGTCTTAAAAATCCACCTTATTTCAATAAGTTTTCTTCGTTTATTTTTGTTTTTGGAATTTCGCGCAAAGCTACACGAGGGATATCTGCGCTAGCCGTCCCTAA